CACACACACACCACCACTTCCCCTGAACTGCAAACACACGCGCGTGCGCACACACACACACACACCCCACCATCACTTCCCCTGAACTGCTGCAGAGATCGAAGACATGGACACACGAACCTTCTCACTTGGATCTTTCCTGTCTGCCGAAGTTGCAGCTAGTGATAGGCGATGTTCTGTGGCATGAACAGAGATAAGCATAAAATGGGTCAGCACCTGGAGCTGAAATCGAACAAAAATATATACTTCTTCAAGCCCAATGTTTGTCCAAGAAATCTCTGATGTATGAGTTTTGAGGGACCTCAGAAAAGTAGAAAATATGGGCCCTGCCCTCCAGGGACTTAGAGGGTGAAAGCAGCACTAGCCTCCCACTCTGCCGGTCTTGACCAGTTTCTCTGCCGCCACGTGCTCCCTCGTGTAGCCTGCATGACACCACCACCTTCGAGCTGAGTGATGGTTCTCACCACATTGTAGAAGAAACTAAGGCTCAGAGAGGAATTGACATGTTCAAGTCTCAGGATAATGTGGCAGAACCAGAAATAGATTGCAGGTCTTCAGACACCTACATCCAGGGGTACAATTCAAGGGGTCAAGAGGCAGGCTCCAGGAGCCCGGGGTGCTCACGTCCCCTGCTCCTCACTCTGTAACTGCTTCCTGCAAGCCCTGCTCCCAGGTGGGTGTCCTGATGCATCTACTCTCCCCTTCTCTCCAGCAGCATTCCTCATCCATCACCTGTGGCTCTCCCCTCCAGGGCCCTTCCTGTCCCACGGCTGTCTCCACTCACAGTATCCTTCCCACAGCCACCAGAGGGATCTTACAAACAGAAATCAGCTCTCAGCCACTGCCCTCCTGGAAAGCCAGTGGCAACCAGGAGAAAACCCAAACCTCTTACAAAAGGAAGGTTGATATGTGCCTTCACATCTTCCAAAATGCACACGCCCCATGAGACAGGGATGGGAAACCCGCTAGACAGGGAAATTAGGTGGGGGATGAAGGAAAAAGGAAGCCAGCAGAACCTCTGTCAGATGGCAGAAGCGGGAGGGAAGGGGAGAGGTGGGCTGGCCGTGTGAAGCTGGCCTGAGTGCCCGCATGGTCCCTGCAGCTTGGAGGCTGAGCCCACCTGTCCATGGCCTCCCCACAGGCTTTCCCCAGTGCATCACACACTTACCCAATGCACTCACATTCTCAGGCCTCTGCAGACAGTCTTCTGCTGAGTCTCCTTCCAGCACCTTCCATGGCTGTCTCATTATTCAATCCCAACTCACTGGATACCTAAAAGAATGGTCCCAGGCCAGACTTCTCCAGAGACCGCCCCCAGTCTCTCCTGTTCCCCATTTTAACTGTTTCCAAGCACTTCCTACCTCCTGAGCATTTTACTTTTCCACATGTTCCCTTATGCAGAACACATAAGTCCTTGCAGACAGGAACTTTGTTCACTGCGGAATCCCCGGGGAAGAAAACAGAAGCCTGCACATACTAGGTGCTCAACAAGTATTTGCTGACAGCCTAACTTTAGAGGGCAAACAAATTCAGTCGGGTAAATAGTCACTGAGTGCCCCTTTGAAAGACTTCCTGGTGAGTTCATGGGTGGGCTGTGTCTGTTACATGCTGTGCTGCACAGGGCGTGCCCCAAAGGTGATGCTGATGAGGCTGCCCTCATGAATGTCAGCCCAACGAGCCACATCCACACTTAAGCAAGTGTGCGCCACCAGTCACTGTGCAACTGTTAGAGGCGTTTGAACCAGAGCGACTCCATCTTGAATACAGACTGGGTAAAATAAGGCTGAGACCTACTGGACTGCATTCCCTGGAGGTTAGGCATTCTACGTCACAGGAAGAGATAGGAGGTCGGCACAAGGTACAGGTCACCAGGACCTTGCTGAAAGGCCAGGTGCCGTGGCTCAGGCCTGTAATCCCAGCACTTTGGGAGGCTGAGGCAGGTGGAACACCTGAGGTCAGGAGTTCGAGACCAGCCTGGCCAACATGGTGAAACCCCATCTCTACTAAAAAAAAAAACAAAAAATGAGCCACGCATGGTAGCAGGCGCCTGTAATCAATCCCAGCTACTCGGGAGGCTAAGGCAGGAGAATCACTTGACCCCAGGAGGCAGAAGTTGCAGTGAGCCAAAATTGCGCCATTGCCCTCCAGCCTGGGTAACAACAGCGAAACTCTGTCTCAAAACAACACAACAAGACAAAAAAAAAAAAAGACCTTGCTGATAAAAGGATGTGATACAGAAGCCAGCCAAAACCCACCAAATCCAAGATGGCGATGAAAGTGGCCTCTGGTTGTCCTCACTGCTCATTATATGCTAATTATAATGCATTAGCATGCTAAGAGAAACTCCTACCAGCACCATGACAGTTTACAGATGCCATGGCAGCGTCAGGAAGTTACCCTGTATGGTCTAAAAAGGGGAGGAACCTCAGTTCCTGGCATTGCCCACCCCTTTCCAAAAAACTCATGAATAATCCACCCCTTATTTAGTGTATACTCAAGAAGTAACAGTAAGTATAAATAGCTGAGCTTCCCATGCTGCTGCTCTGCCTGTGGAGTAGCCATTCTTTTATTCCTTTGCTTTCTTAATAAACTTGCTTTCACTTTATGGACTTTCCCCGAATTCCTTCTTGCATGAGGTCCAAGAACCCTCTCTTGGGGTCTGGGTTGGGATCCCCTTTCCCGTAACACAACCAGGCCAGGATGTGACGCATGGTGGTGCCTGGGGACAGTGGCATGGTAGATTGCAAACCTGACCCACCCTATCTGAAGACCCTCACTGCAGAGATATCTGGCTGTTAGCGAGTGCCTCTGACCCGTTGACCAAGTGGATCAAGAGCAACTCCTGTAGCCAGTGAGGGAACCATTGTGCCCTGCAAAACCAGCCTAGCCTAGCGAGCATTGTCGGCATCCACCCAAACAAATGCCGGTATCCAGGATGTGGCTAAACTCAGGAATGTGGAATAATAGGAAATATCTGCAGCTTGCCGGGGTAGGAGCCAGACAATATGGCACAAAGGGAGAAGGAGAAAAAGGATTTCGAGGCCATTCCACAGTCAGTTAAAACTCATCCGTGTTCTCCTCCGCCAGGTTGGGAAGGTGGGCCAGCCCTGGCCTGAGTGCTGATCTTTGTCATAATGAGGAGAAAACTCAGCCTTATTTTTAGAAATGAATAGACTTTTGTGTCTGTGGCCTTGGATCATGTGTTTTCCAGGAGAATTCATAGGGTTAAAAAAAAAAAAAAAAAAAAGGGACTGGATTCGAACCTGCCACCCAGGAGCCTCATGCTGAGCGCAGGTTTCCTGACATCTCCAGAGGCTCAGTCTTTTCACCAGTAGAATGGAGTAATAGCATCTGCCTCCCCACCCCCACCCCCACCCACAGCGTTGTGCAAAGGATCAAATGGGGCTGCAGAGTCCTCTAGAATGTCGTTGGCTCAGCCCTCTGCCCTCAAGCACCACTGGGAGCAGGAATGACTCCGTTACCTCCAGGGAGGAAAGCCCAGGACAGGTGCCCAGCTTTCCAGGCAAAGTGGTTTCAGGGGAGATGCCTCGCTCTACCTACCTACTCAATTCTGCCCCCAAGCTGGAAGGTGGTGGCACACAACTGCTTATAAAGGGCTGCTAGAGGCAATGCTTAGGCAAGTAGGGCCTCAGAGGTAGGAAGGGCCAAGTGCCCTGCCCCAAGCCTCCTCGGATCCCGGCCCAGATGAGAAGATGAGTCAGTATCCACAAAACCACCTTGCAGGCACCTGCAGCGAACTCAGGAGGAAACACACCCTTCCAGTTTCCAAGAGTCCCCAGACTGCTCTGCAGGTGAGTCTGCTTTGAAGAGAGAGAGACACAGCTCTGGGGCTAAACTCAACCCCCAGCAAGCAGTCCCCAGCAAGAAACGGCTGGGGTGGCCTGTCTGTCAGGTTCCCAATGTGCTCCTCCTCTTTTTCCAGTCCCAGACACCTCCGGCTTTATCTGCGTGCCCTTCAGAGAACTCCTCCGGCTAAACATCCTTCACTAATAGCAGCACTGGAATTTGAGTTTGGGGGGTTTGTGGCCATCGCCAGCCCCGCCCCCACAAGGAACATGTTTAAGATCTTGCATCAAGTTCAGGGGAAAACAAAAACAACAAACAAAAACCCCAAAACCAAAAAAACCCAACCTATTTAGGATCCTCTGCTGCACAATTTTAGTAACCCCCAAAGTGACACAGCCCACCAGCTTCTCGGAGCAGTGTGGCAGCCATGCACTCATCCACTCGACCAGGACCAGGTTCAGAGATGAGGAGCCCTGTCTCTGCTTGGTTTGCTGTGTTGGACCCATCAGAAGGCGCTGAAGAGGTAAGTCTCATCAGGCCCCTTCCTTCCTTCTTGGGTTGAAAATGATTTTAGGCCGGGTGCGGTGGCTCACACCTGTAATCCCAGCACTTTGGGAGGCTGAGGCGGGAGGATCTCGAGGTCAGGAGCTCAAGACCAGTCTGGTCAACATAGTGAAACCCCATCTCTACTAAAAATACAAAAAGTTAGCCAGGTGTGGTGGTGTGCGCCTGTAATCCCAGCTACTCGGGAGGCTGAGGCAGGAGAATCGCGTGAACCCAGGAGGCGGAGGTTGTAGTGAGCCGAGATTGCTCCATTGCACTCACCCAGGCAACAGAGCGAGACTGTAACAAAAAGAAAAAGAAAAAGAGAAAAAGGGGAAGGGGGGGGAGGGGAGGGGAGGTGATGATTTCAAATGGATGGACTCCCTCCCTCTCTTCCTGCCCTGTTCTTCCATCGGATCCTGATCTTGAATTGCTTCTATGTTAGGGAAACCCAGGGGCCACAACTTGTCAACTTTGGACGTCCTTTTTGTTACCAGCCTAAAAATATCCTTCCCTTTAACCAACTTTCAATAGGGTAAATCCGGAGAGTCCCCTCTTTGGAACTCCCCAGATAAACTAAGCCTTGTGCCAGCATAGTCGGGAGCAGAACTGTGAATGTTTATTCCCTCCCTGACTGTCTCACCCCTCCTCCTACCCCTTGTTTGTGAGTTTGATTTGCCAGAGGCTCTGGGCTGAAAGCAGGTGATGTACAGGACTTGTGATGGAGCAGGTGCGGCTGCTGTCATCAGACCCAGCTACATAATTTGCGGGGCCCAGGGCACAGTGAACCTGGAGAGGCCCTTGTTCAGCTGTGCATTACACTTCAGGACTTGGGGCCCCATGTGACTGCAGGGGTCCGTGTGCCTGCCTTGCTGGACCTGCCTGTCTTGATACCTTGTACATGCGCTGGACCTGCTGGGAGAGTCTCGGAGCATCTTCAGAGCACCCCAGCTCTCCCCATGCTACAGGAAAGAGAAGCTTACACCTTGGGTGCCTTTTCACCCAGATTCAGGGATGAGGGCCCAGGACATCACAGCTCAGGCATCAGAGGCCAAGCACAAGGGGCCCTCCCGTCTCCAGGCTTGTTCCTCAGGCTGTAGAATGTGCTATTGGACTTCATAGCACCTGGATCATAACAGTCTATGGGTACTTGGAGGGAGGGGCACAATGTCTCTTCCCGCAAAATTTTGTGAGTTCTTAGCTTTTTCTTTAGAAGAGGCCAAAAACCGGCCACTTTGGTAGATGCCACCTGATGACCCGGCAGGGGCAGCTGTGTCTGGATTTCTTCCTCACAAGGACCCAGCTCCTGTAGTCATGGAGGCCAGAGAGTTGACATGAGGGGAAGAAAGCCCCCTATTAGCAATTCTCTTTCCACTCCTTTTATGCCCAGAGGTTGGGAGGCCTGGCTTCCACCCCCACCGCCAGCTCAGCCTTGGGGGGCTTCTCTCAGGATGGCCACCCCACCCCGCCTTCTGATGACTGATGGACACTAATGGTTTCCATGAGCAACTTGCCAAACAAATAAGAGACACGTCAGTAGATAGAGCCCCGGGTCCACACTTTGCCTCAGTGACCACTTTTTGGAGAACAAGGACCGAAACTTCCGGGCTGACAAAGCAGCTCTCCAGCCTTGCTCTCCGCTCAGACAGTCATACGGGGATTCCATGGCCACCTCAGTGCTTCCGGGAATGGTCATGGAAGCTGCTGGAAGTCAGGAGGCAGCTGCTGTGACTTCCCCTTGCCCACGTGGCACCCTCGGAATGTGGTGAGTGCCACTGAGTATGAAGAGAGTTGGGCAAGCTCATCTGAGGGCCCCGTGCCAAGGGCCCCCAGCAAGGGCCTGTCAGGCCCAAGCCCACAATGCCGGGCCCTGTTCTTACCAGAGAAGGAGGCCATGGTGTGGGCCCGAAGGCCATGACAAGCACTCAGAGGGGCCGCAGGGAGCGAGAAGCCCTCCTCTAGTTACAAAACCACGTCCTGGGGGGCCACTTCTGCTTTTGGTTCCTCATTTGACCAAGAAGAGTTTTGTTAGCAGAAAATCTTTTCAGACATCTTTGGAAGTCACATTGTAGAACTCCTGATGCATGCGCCAAGTGGAATTTTCCTTTGGGGCATCTTCTAGAAAGATCCCTCCTTCTTTCTCTGCAAAAGGGAACCGTCCCTCCGAAAGGGCCTGGGCCTTTGGGAAAAGGGGTTTAGAAAGCCAGGCGCTGGCACCCTTCTGTGGGGGCGGTGGCCGCATCCCCGGGTGCCTTCCTAGGGGAGGCCTGAGCCCAGATGTGAAGCTGGGGCCTCTCTCCAGGGCTCAGGGCCCCAGGAACGCAGGGTCAAGGGGTCCCATGAGCCTGCGGCCCCCCACCCCGAAGCCAGGAACCCCGGCAAAGAGGTCCAGTTGGACAGTCCCGCGCTCAGGGCGGTCACTAGCCCGCGGCGGCCGGCGGC